GGATGATTAACACTAATCATAATAGAATGTGTTACACGACTATGACTGAATAATTGACGTGACCTTCCGGTTATGCCACTGTACGAACTTGCAAGAACGAATGTCATGTTGTCAGCGCACTGCATGTCCTAATTAATTTGTTTTTATCAAAATATTATCCATAATTCAATTGTTATGAAATGTTTAAGTTAGAAATTTCCATAAACTGAGTTACGTACGGCTCATAACAAAGAGATAACTTATATGGATGCTGGCCTTTCTGGTGGGAAGAGGACATTGCCAGTTGTCATGTATAATCCTGATAAAATCTGCAACTTTTTTTAAAGTTTGCATTAACTTAATTTTATGTCTTTTTGATTAAACTAGAATAAACGGTTCCCATTTCACTGGGAAGAGCACATTTATAATTGAATGTATTTATTCTTAATAAATTCTTTATGACTGCGAATTGTTTCTATTACATTTAATGGCGATCAGATTGAACTAGCAGGCATGAACGCGATTGTTGTCCGTGCTAGTAGAGACAGGGGGTTTGTAGCTGATTGATGATAATCGAAATAATGATGTCTATGATTTTTTATTACCTTACGAAAACTAAAAATCGAGAACATTATAAAAGAAATGCAATAGGAGAAATGCAGTACTGATAATCAATTGTGATTGATCCCAATAAGTTATGAATATGATTCATATTATGTCACTCATTCTCTTTATTTTGTAATGTTCTAATTAAACTAGAAATTAATTAAAAACTTTGCCCATACCATTTGGAATATCACCACTTAAGTGAAGTTAATAACAAAAATCTATATGATAATTGTTATTTTAGCAGAGAATGACTCATTTAAGGCTAGACCAGGTATAGGAACAGTTTTTGATGTCATTAAGTAGTTACTATTTATTTTGATGTTATTTTAAATAGACTATAAATTGCAACCAATGCGCCACGAGGAACCCTGAAATCTTAATATATTGCATTTAATCTTAATAAATCTGCAAAAGTGAAATTCTTTTATGTGGTCTATTTAATTAGTTTTATGTTACCTTGACCAAATGATACACCCGATTTGTTTTAGGGAGGGAAAGACACGTTGCATTTCAGATTGCCTACAGTCTTTTATTTCTCTAGTTAAAAAACAAGTCGTATTTTTTGCCAGGATTTGAGTTTGTAGATTATGCGTTAGAGCTGTTGATATCTGACTGCTTGTAATCTCTGATTACAACGATAGTTCTCGGTTCTAGAAACTTTGATTGTCGCGA